TTTTAAACTTAAATATATAGGTAGGTACATTGTTATTAACTTAATTAGGGTACTCCTAAGGCTTAGGAAGAGCCACACCCAAGGGGCCAAAGGGCCACATGTGGCTTGCGAGCCGCAGTTTGCCGACCCGGACCAGGAGGAGGACCCTGGGAACTTGGAATAAAGCTGGAGATGCGCTCTTTCCCGGGTCTGTGGTTTCCAAGCACCAACGGAGACTTCGTTTAGAGGCTCAGAGCGACAGTAGGACTTCCTGTTACCTAAGAAAGAGCAGGAAAGTTCAGGGACCTGCCTGACTTCACCCGGTGGAGGGGACAAACCGCCCTTCACAAGCCAGTACAGGCTTTAGAAAGATGCCTTTGATTTTACTTATGCCGGTGACATGTGTATGTCAACGGCAGATTGGCTGGTGGTTTGGCAGGTGGCTTTCTTGGGTGTGAACACTGGAGGCAAGTAGGTGGACACTGCTTGGAGGCAGATGAGGTCCGATTGCAGTGGTTCTCAAAGTGAGGTTCCAGAGTCCGTGGGGTCACTGAGGTGGCTTCAGGGGCTGTGCACAGGCATTCTGCTAAGATTTTGGCTTTTCTACTCTAAATCTTTCATGACAGTTTTGCAGAAGTGACTTGTGTGTGATTGAAACAGGGAATGCAAAACAGACGTGAGGATCCAGTTGCCTGCTATTTAGCCAGACGTTAAAGACATTGGTAAAATTGTAAAACAGTACTTCTCTTTTTTTCTTTTGGGAAAATGCGGTTATTTTTATGAAAATTATCATTTATGGAACATGTAATGAGTTTATTATTGGTAGTTTATTTTTAAAAATATTTTTTATTGATTTCAGAGAGGAAGGGAGAGGGAGCGAGAGACAGATCCATGATGAGAGAGAATCATTGATTGGCTGCCTCCTGCACACCCCCACTGAGGATCAAGCCTGCGACCCAGGCATGTGCCCTTGACTGGAATCGAACCGAAGAGCCTTCAGTCTGCAGGCGGCCGATGCTCTATCCACTGAGCCAAACTGGCGAGGGCTAGTATTGGTATTTAAGTAAACATTATTTTTAAATGCCAATGTGACCTTAGTTCTATCATGGCAAACACTGACAGGTATAACTTACATAAACAAAAGCTCTTCGGGCTCCCCACTAATTTTCTTGACCCCAAAGACCAAGACTGTTGAGAACTGCTGTGCTATGAAATCTGGTAGCAGGTACCCCACAGGAGCGACTGCGCCTCTGGGAACAGATGGAGGAACACCATGTGCACAAAAGTTCTCTCTTCCTTTTAAAAGTAAACGCACACGTGGAAACCAGCTATTCTGATCATCCCTGGGCTCAGATCTGCCTCCCAATGCACCAGAGGCAAACCACGCAGCATGTTCAGTACAGAGGGTGGGGGCAACGGGCCCCTTGGAAGCAGGGGGCCAGGTAGAGGGAACTGGCTCTCGGGGACGGTGGGAGAATTACGGCTGGAGATGTCTCGAGCCACAGACACACACCCACAAGGTACTCTTTTTTTCCAACCCTCACCTGAGGATATTGTTCCATTGATTTATAGGGAGAACAGAAGAGAGAGGGAAAGACAGAGAAACACTGATGTGAGAGAACCACATCGATCGGCTGCCTCCTGCATGTCCCACACTAAGGACCGAGTCCAAACCCAGGCATATCTCCTGACCGGAACTGAACCGTGACCTCCTGGTTCAGAGGCTGACGCTCAGCCACTGAGCCACGCCGGCCGGGCAGCTCAGGGTGTTCTTGATACTAAACCTCCAGGCCTGGCTTGGCCTTCCTGCCAATCCCTGCCTTTCACAGTATGGATGCTACACACACTGTCTTCTATTGCACCGTCCATGTGACATGCACCAAGTCAGCCGGACACCTCAGCCGACAGCCAGCTCCCCAGCGCAGTGTCGCAGGGGCTCCCGAGGGATCGTCACACCTCCGCCTGGGCTCCTGCTGCCCCCGGTGGCTGTCCCCCACGTGCTGCGTTCGGCTGTTGTCATCTGCCCACGCTGACAGCTCCCTGGAGCAGGGATGACACCTCTGGTGCCAGGGTCACTCGCCCAGCACCGGGCCTGGCCCAAAGCAGGCACTCAGCACACCTCGGCTGAATGGCTCTCCGCTCAGCCCCTTCTAGAAGGTGCTGACCAGGGTCCAGAGTTTTTCCATGACTCTCTAAGGGCCTCAGTCACCTGGGCGTCAGCCACTGGCCTCCTCGCTCTTCCTCACAAGTGTCAGGAATGCTGCCCGGGGTCTCAGCACTGGCTGCTCCTTCAGCCTGGAGATGCTTCTTCAGCATAGTTCGTTGGCTCCTCTCACTGCATTCAGGCATCTGCTCCAACAACACCCTCTTCCAGAGGCCTCCCCTGACCTAAAGCACGTCTTCCTACGCACCTCTACCTGTGCCCTCACCTGCCTCACTTTCTTTTCATAGCACTCGTTACCACCTGACTCCCGGGGGGTCCCCTCCACCCCCCGGCCATTGGGGAATCAAAGACTCGTCTGTGCTTGGGTAGGGGTTCCATGAAGCCATTTACCGCCAGCTCTTTCATTTGCAGTGAGAAGAATTTAGGTTAAACAGAGAGGGTGCATCTGCTCTCCCAGGTGGCACAGCAATGAGCACACTGGGAGGTCTCGGTCTGACTTCCCAGTACATTGAGTTGATCAATAATGTCTCATTCATCCGTGTTCTTAGGGTGGGGCATTGAATACAAATCAATCCATTCATTCAACAAATACTTATTGAGCAACTACCATGCCTCAGACACTCCCCCCGCCCCCCGCCCACCACTGCTTTTCAGACAGAGTAGAAAAAAGGGAGGTTGACTACCGAACAAGCCCCAACTGGGGCCAGGGATCAAACCTGCAACCCAGGTACATGCCCTTGACCAGGAATCGAACCAGTGACCTTTCAGTGCTCTAACCATTTAGCACGCTGGCCAGGGCTGTACCAGACACTTTTTTTTTCTTTTGTTTCTATTTTTTCTGTACCACTTTTTATTTTATTTTTATTTTTTTCTTTATTTTTTTTCTTTTCTTACCAGACACTTTTTAAAGTGCTGGGCATACAAACTGGCACAGTCTCTGCCCTCTTGTGCTCATTGCAAAGATAAGGAGCAAGTGCTTATATAACTGTTGGGAGAAGCCATCTGCCACGGGCCCTGAGCATCCCTCAGCCTGCCAGAAAAGCAAGACCCTGACGCTCTTTGCTCAGGCCATTTCTCAGGCTGTGTTTGCAGCCGGCAATCTTGAGGAACGAGGTAACATCTCCCCGGGGGAAAGAACAGGCCTCCCACTCACTATAAAAGCAGCGAACCTCAGATCCTGTAAAGCCACCCACAGGTGCCCGGGCATCCGTGACGGGTCCCTGGTGGGGGCTGCAGGACATGGGGAACGCACACAAACACAAAGCCGTGGCTGCTGCTTTCACCGAGTAATAAAGCCCTTTGTCTCTCACCGAGGAGCCGCGTGGCTCCTGCCAGCATCCTCGAAATGGTAAGGCTGTTACCAAACAGTAGTGAACAGCTTATTAGTTGTAAGTACGGTAAAATCCCAGAGGCTGCACGGTTTTTGATGATGTATTAAGTGGGGATTAGAGCTATTGAGAAAATAGAGCAGAAAAAGGTAGATAGGGAGTCTGGAGGGGCTTGCTTGCCATTTTGTTTATTTAGTTATAATTGATTTAAGAGAGAGAGAAAGGAAGAGAGAGTGAGCGAGTGAGAAATGTATTGTTCCCCTTATGCAGGCATTCATTGGTTGACTCTTGTATGTGCCCTGACCAGGGGTCGAACCCACAACCTTGGCTGATTCAGAAGATGCTCTAACCAACTCGGCTGCCCGGCCAGGGCGTGGGACTTGCTATTAGAGAGAGGAGAGGTAATTAAGAAAGACCCCTCTGACAAGGTGACACTGCAGCGGAAACATGACTAAGTGAGGAAACAAGCAAGGTGACTCCTTGAGAGAAGAGCGTTTCAGCCAGAGGGGACCACAGCGGCAAAGGTCCTGCGGTAGGAGGGTACCCTGAATATCTGACAAGCAGCCTAGTGGCCCCGGTGGCTGGAGGGGATGCCAGACGGAGGGGAGCCGAGGATGAGGTCAGGGAGAGGAGCAGGAGAGGAGGTCGGGGGCCAGAGCACGCAGAGCCTCAACGCCATGGGAAGTACTGTGAGATGGGAAGTACTGGTGGGTTCTGATCAGAGATGCGATGCGGCCCATTCTGATCTCTGCGGTAAAAGCATGACTCCGATTGCTGTGTGAGGAACAGCCTGGAGCCCTGGGGACCAGGCTGCAAACGGGGAGCCAGCGAGAAGGCTGTGAGAAGTCCCAGTAGGCGATGGCAGTGGCTTGTCCTGGTGGTGGTGGAGGCAGAAGGCGAGGCGGTGAGACGTGGTCACCTTCTGGGTCCATTTTAAGATCAGAACCCGCGGGCTTGCTTAGGGACCGGTTGTGGGTTGAGCCCAGAATGACCCCAAGGTTTTGTTTTGAGCAGCTGCGAGGCTGGTGAATGAGCATAAATGAACGACTGAATCACTGCACACCTTTCTCCGAGGCGTGAAACAGAAGGCCTGCCCCATAGACTGCACCTTCGGAGTGGGGGCCGGGGCTGGAACACCCTCAGAAAAGGAGGCAGCGGTTCCTTTAAAGGGCTCGGCGACGGGAAACCCCGCCCACGGGGGGGTCACGTGCCCCTCGGGAAGCACTAGGGCGGGGCCACAGCGGGGTTTGAAAGGAAGGCGCGCACGACCTGAGCGGCGGTTCGGCCAGCGACTGGGATGTCGGTGTTGCGGCCGCAGGACCAGCTGCCAGGCCTGAACGCGGCCACCATCTTGGTAGGCGCCCGCAGCCGCGCTTCCCCGGCGGGGCTCCCCTCCCGGGCTGTGCTCCCGCTGCCCCGCTCTCGGCGCTCCTCAGGGGGCGGGCGCGCGCTGTTCCGGAAGAGGCGGTGGGCGGGACAGCCACATTCTGACCCAATCGGAACAGCCGCTCTCTGAGGCGGAAGGACGCCCCCACCAATAGGTGCGCGGCGGGCTTTCTTCCCGGTTTCTGATTGGTTTCTGGCCCGGAGGCCGAGTTCCGAGCCGGGCAGGAACTTGCTGTGTCTGAGTCTGAGACTGGCCTCCCGGAGCGGCCCGGCGGTCAGCGGGAGGGTCCGGGAGGTAGCGAGTGCTGAGCGGGAAGGACCGGGGAGGGTGTAGACCACAGGCGCTCAACCTGTGCCGGGTGGAGTCTTCTCTCGGTAAACGGCGCCCTGAGCGCAGGAGCCAGAATCCTGGGGGTCGTGGCCGCCTTCGGTCGGTGCCCGGATCCCCATGTTCTGCAGAGGGACAGCGGCCGCCTTCTCTCTCTGGGCAGCTGGTGGGCAAGGAGGATGCTCTTCTGCAGCCGCTGGCCGACTCGATGCTCAAGGAGGACTGCGCCTCCACGCTGCGGGTGTAAGTAGCCGAGGCTGGGGGGTCCGATCGCTAGGCTGGGGCCTGAACTCGGGCTCGGGCGGGAGGGCGGGCGCAGGTGGAGCCGGTGGGCCAGCCCCTTCACCATCCCTAACTGCGCGGTCAGCCTCGCCGACCCCGCCGGCCTCTGGTAGAGCCGGTCGAAGGTATCCTCTGACACTTGTCACCGTAAGACATTTCCTTGTCACTGTTCGTTTCCTTGTTTCCAGTCGACCAGGCCCTGGACCCCCAGGCCAGTCCCTTGAGGGCAGGGACTGACTTTCTGCACTGGTGACTCCTAGTGTCCTGAGCAGTGTAGATGTGCCCTCCCAATCTGGAGAAAAAGTGACCAAGGAAGTATGCCTTGTTTTCCTTCTTCTCACTGATGGGAAGTAGAAACAGCTGCTGAGGGAGTCAAGCGACTAGGTCTGGGGGTGTCGTTTGCCCTGATGGGAAGGTAAGCTCCAGGTCCATCTGAAGGGGAATGACCCAGATCGGAAGGCATTTCCTCCATGGGAACTGGAAATGGCCCTTGCCAGGCAGAACAAACCTGCCACTGCACTTTAATGATCTCTGATGCGGGAACATAATCTTTTTCTTCTAAATATCTGTGCTTTACCCATCTTGCCAGTCTCTCGGGCCCCAGAACGTCAAACACAACCAACAATCCCAAAGCCATAGCTTAGAAATAGGAAAGGATTTTTAAGAAGAATTCATTTCATTGGCATCAGGGTAAATGGAGAATGTGGACAACATTGCCTGCATTGAGCGAGGTGGAAAGGAGTGTCATGGAGCCCTGGCCGGTTTGGCTCAGTGGATAGAGCGTCCGCCTGCAGACTGAAGGGTCCCGGGTTCGATTCCGGTCAAGGGCACATGCCAGGGTTGTAGGCTCCATCCCCAGTGGGGGGCCAGCAGGAGGCAGCCAATCAATGATTCTCTCTCATTATTGATGTTTCTCTCCCTCTCCTTTCCTCTCTGAAATCAATCAATATATATATATATATATTTTTTTTTTTTTTTTCCTCCCCGAGTCCCCGCTCCCCCAATAAAAATATATTTTAAAAAAAAGAAGAAGTGTCATGGAAACCCTTGCCAAAAAAGGGTAAGGATTCACCTGACATGCAGAAATCTGATGAAGAACCCACTCTGGGAAAAGAAGAAAGCTTTTTTTGAGTATTTTGTGGATTGGGAAGTTTAATAAGAACCTGAGTTTTTAAGAGTCATTCAAAGACCAAATAATAAAACAACAGAATGAGAGGAAAAGGGAGGTTGCTGAGCTAAGGGCAAAAAAGATCCAAAAATAATGCCATACGGGATCTAACAAATAGGAACAGCAACGATCAGAATAGGTGCAGTTGAGCACTTTATTGCCTACAAAGAGGAAAGGTTTGAGAAAACCACAGCAAAAGTGTTCGAAGATGTAATGGAAGAAAACTCTGAAATGAGCGAAGAGTTTAATTTTTCCATTAAAAAGGGAATATAATACAAAAGAATTTTTAAAAAGGGAAGATATATCTTATTCCAGGAAAAACAGACACAGCATTTGTGTCAAGTTAAATTGTTGAACTTAAAGGGTAAATGATTCTTCAGACTTTTCGCAGGAAAGGCAATCACCCTTGTGATCATCCGCTCATTCCGTTGCCAGATATTTCCAGCTTCTGCATTTGGAGCCTATGGCAGGTTTTGGAATTGCACTTTTTGACCTTTTGTGGCTGTGTGGAGCCATGTGACTAGTTCTGGCCAATGAGTTAAGAGCAGAAAAATGATCGTCTCTTTACTGGTGAGCTATTTAGTTGACAGTGAGACCCTCCTCAGAAGGCTTTGTCTCTTCCATGGCGACCAGCAGGGTTCCAGAGTGGCCGCTTCGTCAGCCTAGGTCCAAGGTTATAGCTAGAGCAAAATGTAAACATATATACTAATAGCTCTCATGTCTCATAATGGAGACTCAAGCCAATATAGATAAAATTGAAACATAGTCTCAAATGATAACAAGTTATTAATTTTTTTCTTAATTCAGTTCTTTCAGGAAACAACCTTTGTGATTAAAAAATAACTTATTGCCCTAACTGGTTTGGCTCAGTGGATAGAGCGTCAGCCTGCGGACTCAAGGGTCCCAGGTTCGATTCCGGTCAAGGGCATGTACCTTGGCTGCGGGCACATCCCCAGTAGGGGGCGTGCAGGAGGTATTTAAAAAATAAAAAAAAACTTATCTAAGTTCATGTATTTTTTTCAGTTCTGCTTTAGTTATTTTGCTTTCATTAAATGCAAATTAAATTAATACTATTATCCTATTTTTAGATTATATCTATTCTAGTGTCTGAATGTGTATAGTATGTTGTGTACATGTTTAGAAAATGCTCTAAAGTTAACTAGTGGTAATTTCTAGGTAACTGGACTTTGTGGTGTTTTTGTTTGTTTTTTAAATATATTTTTATTGATTTCAGAGAGGAAAGGAGAGGGAGAGAGAGAGAAATATCAATGATGAGAGAGAATCATCAATTGGCTGCCTCCTACATGCTCCCTACTGAGGGTCAAGCCCGCAACCCAGGTGTGTGCCCTGACCAAAAATTGAATTGTGACTTCCTGGTTCAGGTGACCACGCTCAGGTGACCACTGAGCCAGACCAGCTGGGCAGCCCTTTTTGATGTTTCCTGAATTATAAGGTAGGCGATGGGAGGAGCTGGGTAATAGGAATACATGGAAATGGGCAGAAATCGAGGGTTCCAGAAAAACCTTCAGGTGGGTATCTGACCACCAGGGACCAAGTTCAGGAGAACGATGAGGTGATTTATGCAAGGTCACACAGCTGGTCATTTGCAGAACTGAGATTTGAACCCGCTTCTGTCACACTCGAAAGTTCAGTCCCAGCCCCTAATCTTCACAGTTCAGCACCCGCCTCGGAGCCTGGCCTCCCTCCCAGCGTGTAGTGTAGCTTGCTGGCCCCATGCCATCTTCTACCCAAAGCTCCTTCTTACCGAGGCGGCTACTACACAGAACTCCTTTCTGCCAGAGGAGTCGGAAGAAAGTCATCTGGGTGGGACCAGCCCCGCCCCGCCCTGCCCCTCTGCTCGCCAGCGGAGTCTTGCCCAGGAGGGCCTCAGGTGAAGAGGTGACTGCATGTGATGGTCACGGGAATGTGGGCGCAGGGATCTTTAGTCCTGCAGTTTCTTGTTTTCCAGCCACTTGGCACATTCCCTCCCTCTGCCCTCCGATGTGAATCGCCCCCGAATTGACCTGATTGTGTTCGTGGTCAACCTTCACAGCAAATACAGGTAAGAGCCAGACGATGGGGCTGTCGGGGCTCAGGTGGCCCTCCCTGGCTTAGGGACAGTGACGTCACTTACGATGGGAAGGAGAGGAGGCAGGGAGAGGCTGCCTGGGGTTAACCTAGACCAGTGATGGCGAACCTATGACACGCGTGTCAGAGGTGACACGCGAACTCATTTTTTTGGTTGATTTTTCTTTGTTAAGTGGCATTTAAATATATAAAATAAATATCAAAAATATAAATCTTTGTTTTACTATGGTTGCAAAGATCAAAAAATGTCTATATGCGACACGGCACCAGAGTTAAGTTAGGGTTTTTCAAAATGCTGACACGCCGAGCTCAAAAGGTTCGCCATCACTGGCCTAGATGGTGAGGAGGGGGAGCCATGGCCAGTGCAAGATGTTTGAAAGACACTGATAAATCCTAGCAGTGTCACCTGTCATTTAGCTAATGCGCTCTGAGGTCTACTCTGGCCCTGCCAGCGGGCACAGAGATGAAGGAAATGGACCCTGACCTCAGGGTGCTCCTAGCCATTGCAGGAGGCGGCGGGGCTTTCGGACACTTGTGAGAGCCCACACAGACCTGTGACGCTCAGGACTTAGTCAGGGTAGGCTTTCTGGTGGCGGTGACACCTGATAGATGGGACGGCCTTAGCCAGGTAAAGATGGGAGTGAGCACCGTGTTCAGGTGAAGAGTTCATGTAGAACCAATAGTGTGTTTAGAAGAAAGACTTTTAAGGCCTGTGCGAGGTCAGAGCCCAGTCTGGTGTGGGGCATGGCAGTGGCAGCAGGAGTGGCGCGGCCTGGCCCCCCTGTGGAGCGCAGAGGAAGGTCTGTCCTCTCCCTCCTGGGGGACAGCAGACTGAGGCGTAATTAAAAGTAGTTTGAAACAATGAAAGGACAAAGTGTTCCAATACTCGGGGCAGAGTCCTGTCCCCCCTCAGGCTCTGGCCGCTCTGGGATGGGATGAGGGGCGGAGCGGGGGGTGGGGGGGCGAGGAGGGCACGGCCTTCTCTGTTGTAAGGTTTGTTTTCTCGCCCGGGCCTGGCCGCCCAGCCTGCAGAACGTGGAGGAGTCCCTGCGCCACGTGGACGCCACCTTCTTCCTGGGGAAGGTGGGCTTCCTGGTCACCGGCGGTAAGTGTGCCCTCGCCGGCCAGGGGCAGTGTGCCGTGCACCTCCCTGCTGGCGCCGGGCTGATGGGAAGGACCGGCCTCGGCATCCGACCTGCTGTCGGTCCTTCTAAGAGCACATCTGAGCAGGTCACTCATCGCTTGGCGTTGCCGAGTGGTTTTAGAGTAAAACCCAAACCCCTGTCAAGGCGCCGCGTGTCCGGCAGCATGGCCTCTGCCTTCCCGCCGCCTCGCCTCCCGGCACCCTCCGCTCTGGCTCACCGGCGGCTCTGAGCAAGTCCTGCTGTCCCCGCGCTGTGACTAACGGCGGGACAGTGTCCGCGAGCCTCCACTGAGCACCCACCGCCCGACGCCGCTCTGAGCGCGTTTCTGTGTCACTGATCGTCACAAGCAGCCCTTCGAGGCGGGTGTCCTCTCGCCTTTGTAGCTGAGGAGACTGGTCAGAGGTGACGCAGCCTGCCCAGGGCCCCACAGCTAGAGAGTGGTGCAGCTGAGATTCAGACCTCGATACTCATACTCCTGAGCCAGGCCGCTTCTCAGAGACGCTTCTTGTCTGTCTCGCTAACGCCCCTTTCGCGTCCTGGGGAAGACCTTCCCGACCAGCCTGCAGTCCGGGCCCTGAGGGCCCCCATCCCGCATGGATGTGAGCCCCTTTTGGGGAGGGCCTGGCACAGCTTGTTTTCAAAGGCATTGGCAGCCCTGGCCAGTGTGGCTCAGCTGGTTGCGTCATCCCCTGCACCAGGTTCCATTCCTGGTCGGGGCACACGCCCAGGTTGTGGGCTTGATCCCCAGTGGGGGGTGTGCAGGAGGCAGCCAATGGATGTTTCGCTTTCACATCAATGTTTCTCTTTCTCTCTCCCTGTTCCTTCCCCCTCTCTAAAAAACTCAATTAAAAAAATTTTTTTAATGAAAATAAAAAGCATTGGTGAATAAATGAGTGCCAGGTCACTCATGTATCGATTCACCGAGTCTCTATAGTGACTCGGTGGGGCTGTTACCATCCTCACTTTATAGATGAGGAAACCATGTTTCAGAGCCCTTTCCGCCTGCCCTGCTAACTTGATGATCTCGTCAGCCCAGTGGAGAAGGTGGCAGGATTGTCACTCCTGACCAGTCAGGGACGGGCCCAGGGACGGGGCAGTGGGCTGCTTTGCCCAGGCCTCCTCAGTGGCCGCCGGCAGGTGGCGCTCACAGCTAGCACTCTGGGCTTCTTTGCAGCCGGGCGGGACAGCCACTGCAGCGTCCACCGGAACAGCGTGCTGAAGCTGGCCCGAGCCTACCGGAGCCCCCTGCTCTTCTGTGACCTGGAGGTGAGGCCTGGTCCCGGCGCAGGGAACGGGCAGTCAGCACTCAAGGGGCTGCTTGGATGATCCCCGAATATCGGGGATCAGGGGTTCTTCTGGAGCCCGTGGACCCCCTCTGATCTGAGAGTAAAACTCAGGGGATCTGTGGACTTGGGCAAGAAAAAATTACGTATTTTACTTTACTAACCTCTACGTGAAATTGAGCATCATGGGGGTAGGCAAGAGCCGTCGTGAGTTTTAGCAGAATCTGTGACTGTTGCCAAAAGAAATGGCAGGAGCCTGTGGGTGCTAACCTTGTGGTGGGTGGTGCCGTTCTGTGTGTGGCCAGTAGATGGCAGGCCACGCCAGCCCTGGGCTACCCTGCGCTTGAGAACTGAGAGGTCTGCGGCCTGCTGGCTGTTTCCAGCCGCAGACCGCTGAGAACACAGACCTGGCTTCCCTCGGAGGGAGCCCCAGTGCGGACAGTCTGCACCCCTCCTACCCGTGTGGGCTTTCGGGGCACACGCCTCTGCAAAATCAAGTTTGGGCTTTGCCGTAGTTTGAGGCCTTTGCGTGGCAAGAATTATCGCCCCATTTTACACATGAGGAAACCCACTCAGCGAGGCGTGGGCTGCGCCCAGTGAAATGATATTCTAGCCCTGCCCAGAGGGCCCGGTGCTGGTCCCTGAGAGCACAGATGCGTCAGGCATTGGCCCTCCTCTCAGAATGGAGTGAGCTGGACCGACACGTTGTACATGCACAGGGAAGGGCTCGTCGTCTCTGGGGTCCCCGGAGGGTGCTGGAGGGACTCGGAAGCTGAGATGGTGGAAGCTGCTTGGAGAGGTGTGCTGTGGACAGGGTCATGGCCGTGGACAGGTGCACTGAGCTGTCCCCACATCTCCGACCCAGCCCCTTCAGGCAGCCTGTGTGGCCGCTCTGACCCTGCTCTCCGCTCGCCCCGCAGGTGGAAGGCTTTCGAGTCACCATGGCGCAGCGCCTGGTCCGCATGCTGCAGATCTGTGCTGGCCACGTGCCCGGCGTCTCGGCCCTGAACCTGCTGTCCCTGATGAGGAGCTCAGAGAACCCCTGCCTGGAGGACCTGTGAGGGCCTGGGCCAGGGGTCGCTTCCCCACAGGACCCTAACTCTGTGCGCCCGCAGGAGGGCTGGGGGGAGCCCCACGGGCGGAGCAGCCACGCCCACGCCCTCTCCAGCGGAGCCTGTCTCTTCCCCTCGGACGCGGTCCATTTCCACTCGAGACTTCATTTGAACAAAGAGTCTGTGACCAAAAACAGCGAGAAATTCATTGGTCTCACCCACCGCTTTGATTTTGCAGACGAACTGACTCAGAACACTCACGCGCCGGGTGGGAGGGACCCTGGCCTGACCCCACACGGGCCTTGCTATCCTTGGAGCCTGTTTCCCCGGGTGAAACGGGCTTGTTCTCCTGGTCGCGCTGTGGGGACTGAACGAATGACAGCGAAGGGCCCGAGCTGGTGTGCCCTGTGCGTGCTCGTGTGCGGATGACAAACCGTTAATGCCTCGCCCAGGGAAGCACGATGAATGGTGACTGGTATTTGAATTCACCCAGAGCTAAGTTCACACCCTGGTGCAAACCCAGGACTGCACATGGGAGTCCTCAGGGCGCGAGGGGAGTGAGGAGCTGGGTCTGGGTTGGCAGCGAGAGGCTGTGCGTGCCCACTGCCCGCCTTCTCCCTGGGGTCCGAGTAGAACCTGGGGACGTGCGGGGGCTGGAGTCAGAAACCCTGTCAGCCGCAGGAGCCTGGGGGGTGGGGGGAGGTCTGCTGGGAGAGCAGGTCGAAGCTCCTTGGAGCGAGACAGCACCTCCACACCCCCACCCTCCTGCGCCAGGACCTGCCCTCCATCCTCGGGTGTCAGGACAGCTCCTGCTCGATGCCCGGGCAGGGCCGGCACCTCAGGGCCAGCTCTGGCATCAGCCTCCCAGCCAGCGTGCGCGGTCTTCATTGAGGGGCCAACCTGGAACTTAGGAGGGGGGGGCCTGGCCTGCCTGCCCCTCGCTGTGGCTTTCTTCCAGACCAGCCCGCGCCCGCCCTGCGCTCAGCTTGCACACACACCTGCCTGTGTCAGGCAGCCTCCTGCCCCGCCGAGCTCAGCTGTGGAGACTTCCGGCTGCGGCCCGCTGTCCCGGACACCGGCGGGGCACGTCACGCTCCGCCAGCTCTTCTCAGTCACCCGTCTCCTCCCAGCAGCCTGCGAGCTCGCTGTTTCCCCATTTCACAGCGAAACCGAGACGTGTGATCAGAGGGTGTCCGCCGCCTCAGAGCCGGTCGGCGGCAGAGCCCACCTTGGCCGCAGCCCTCTGCTTCTCCTCCAGTTTTCTTTTTAATATAGTTTTTAATAGTTTTTAATGTATTTGTGTTGATTTCAGAGAGGAAGGGAGAGGGAGATAGAAGCATCAATGACGAGAGAGAATCATGTCTCTCTCCGATGCCTCCTGCACGCCCCACACTGGGGATCGAGCCCGCCACCCGCATGTGCTCTGACCGTGACCTCCTGGTTCACAGGTCGAAGCTCAGCCACTGAGCCACACCACCTGGCTCCAGTGGCTTTCTTACTTGGCTAACGGGTGAGCAAAGGCCTGGGCGTCTGCTCGGCAGGCCCTGAACTGGGAACAGAAGTGGAGACTGGCCTGTGCCTGGGAAGGCGGCCGTCGGGGGGAGGGGGGACGGTCTAACTGTCGCTCCCCGTGTGGGGGTCTGCCCCTCAGGACAGGACTGCAGGAGAGGCGAGCAGGGAAGGAGCCCGTGCCAGGAGAGCCAGGCGGGTGGAGACCAGGGAAGCCCCCGTCTCCCCACCTCCCCCGCCAGCGCGGGCACACCTCTCGCCAGTCTCGGGCCACGTTTTCTTTGCCACCTGGTGCCCTATAACAAGAGAAGTGGCATCTCAGCCGAGGACCTGGAAGCCGGCCAAGTGCTGGGGGCCCTTGATGCTGTGTCTGCTGCCAGCACCTGCGGGGCTGGGACCCAGCGGCCACCTCGCCTCCCGTGGAGCTGAGCCCCCTCCCGCAGGTCACAGTTCTTTTGTCACCTGGGCCACCGGGCTGTGGGCAGCCCCTGGGCCTGTCCCAGGACTCACGTCTGTGTGGGAGCGGCCCAGGCCCAAGGATTCCGGCCCCGCTGGCGGCACTTCCACCCGCTAAGGCGGCAGGGCCTCCTGGTGAGGAGGGGGCACCTGTCCCCCCGCCTCGGGCAGAGGAGGGCAGGCAGCGCCGCAGGGGAGGTGATGCAGTGGGAAAGGCCTGGCCTTCGTCTCACTCGGGGTCTGGCCGACCTGCAGTGTCACCTGGTGCAGCCACTTCCTGTCCCTGAACCCCAGAGCCTCGAGGTTCTCGTGAGGCTCAGGAAACCCGAGGCTGACACCCGCCCCCTGCGCTGTCCCGTGTCTGTCCGTCCGCAGACAGTGGCCCGAGGATTGGCTGGTTGTGCCCAGGGCTGTGGTGGGCGAGGGGAGCTGGGGGTTCAGAGCTGAAGCCCCCCGACGTTCACCCCATCCCCACAGTCTGTGCTGGGCCAGGCCTACCTGGCAGGACTCCGGGCGGGGGGGGGGGGGGGACCCTGTCCACGGTGCCCACTGGCGTCACCCCCTTCCCTCAGCCTCCCCTGGGGCCCTAGTGGGCAGGCAGTGAGTCATTTTGAAAGGACTTTGTTCAGACACTTGCAGACCCAAGGGGTGCGGGAGGAGAGGCCCTGCACACCCCAAATCTGAGTCCCTCCAAAGTGTGACCCTATGGACTGGGGGCCTCTGAGGACCGGCTCTGGGAGGGACAGTGGATGGGCAGTCCCCGTGCCCCCGACCTGATGGGAGGCAGCCTTCCTTGGGGTTAAAGCCAAATGCTTGGGGGCGGGGGGGGGGGGGACGGGGGAGAGGGAGTGGGTGTCGCTAACACCTGGTACTTGCCTGGTTTGACTGATGATGACCCTGCAAAGCCAAGGCCAGGGGGGTTCCCCAGCACTTGGCTCCCCTCTACTATGCTCGGCCGCAGGCCCCTCCAGGGCTGTCCTCTGCTGAGAGGGAGAGGACCCCACAGACGTGTGTGGGGTGAGGGGTGCTGGGGGAGTTCAGGGCCCCGGGGCTGCCTGGCTCATCCCTTATCCTTCTGAGCTTGCTTTCCTCTTTGTAAAGTAGAATCTAATGCCGTCTCCCCACAGGGGTGCGGGCACAGGGCCAGGCCGGTGAGGGCAGTTCCATTCTCCTGTGAACTGTGTGACCCCCGGGCCTCGCGCTCCGCCCCAGGTGTCCTCAGGGTCACCCTCATTTCTGTTCCACGGTCTCGCCTGGCCCTCCCTGACTGCCTGGCCCCCCTTCCCTCCTGAACTTTGCTCCCAGGTTCTTCTCACCGACTAAAGGGCCTCGCTTTTTGGGTTTTGTCTCTGTGGTTCCGTGCTCTGTCCCCAGCACCTGGAGCGGCGCCTGAGCGTAGTAGGTCTCAGTATTTGGGAAGTGAGTGGAGGTGCCTGCACGGGGAGTCTGCCCTGCACCCCCACAGGGCCCGAGCCTGCAGGGGCCGGGAGTTTACACGCACAACACCAGGCTGGGGGAGAGGCCTTGGCGTGAGAAGAGGCTCCCCCGGGGGCGCGGGGGGGTAGGGGTTGGGGGGGCTCAGGGGAATGCCCTTTCTTACTCAGGCTCCGTGCTGTTGGAGGGTTTTTCCATGAGAATGTGTTCAGGTATTACTCACAGAATTACATACAAAACTTATTTTTAGCCAAGTACACAGTGTATCCGGGTCTTGGCACTTTCATATCCAGACCTGGGGGGCTGGGCCTCTCTGCCCTGAGGGACTGCCCCCCCACAACACCGAGCTTGTCCAACAGGCCCTGCGCGTCCTCACTTCCTCACCCTGTCCCCAGGCACGAAGGGCGCAGGCCACGCTTCACAGCTGGCTGAGCACAGACCCCAGCCGGGGGCCCCTCATAGGTGCTGGGTCACCCCGCTGCCTGGGAGCCCCGTTTCCCACCTGAAAAGACGGACCTCGTTACAGCGCCGGGCCAGAGGCCCTGGGAGGGCGCTTTGAGGGGAATTTGGGGACAAAGACCAAGGGAGACTCCCTTCTCCCTGACGGACCCCAAATGAATCATCCTTTTAAAAAAGTTCACACACACACAAAACTTCATCAGCGAATGAAAACTCGAGAAAACTGAGACAGATTCGGTGTGAAGGGCTTTTCGGCAACCAAGTCCCTGGTTTTCTACCCAAGAATGCATTGAGGTGATGACCTCGTTATTTAAAGTCAAAACTATTAAAAGAACAAGGAAAATTTGCAAGAACCACATCAACTTTAGAAACTTTAACTCCTCTCTCGGTCACATCTCACAACCAGCAAGTGAAGCTGAAGCCTGGAATGAAGCAATGAACAAACTTAATCGCTACGAAAAGGAAGACTCCATGGAGGGGTGACCGGCCACTCACCACCGTGGCCTGACAGTGAAATTTCTCTTTTTAACTGCGAAGCGTCCGAGCTGTAAGAAGTTCTGTCTCCAGCCGCCCCCCCCCCCCCCCCCCCCCCGCTTCCCCATTTCGGAGACACAGTGAGAGGGGTGGTCGGGCCAGGCACCGGCACAGGCCACTGACTCGAATCCCACAGGCCTTTCGGGGTTGCCCGCTTTGTCCTTGGCACCTGCCCTGTGTGGGCAAAGGGAGGCACCCAGGAGACATTGGTGTCCAATGAGTGCCCCTGCTCCCCCTGCAGGGCTGCCCGGGCCAACTCTCCCGCTCGGGCTGGGGGCCCCTGAGGGCCGCCCCCTCCTCTGCTCTCTGCCTGGGAGTCAGAGGTGGCTCATACGAGGGACCGCAGACCTGGCCCACCTTCTCCCAGGATCGGCCTCCGCCCGCCCTGCCCCAGGGTCTGGTACGGGGTTTAAGTGAGGGCTCTGCAGGCCTGAGGGTGACAGGTAATAACACCAGGGGGGCTGGGGGGGGGGGGATGGGGGCCCAGTCTTCTCCCCTCACCCCCACTCCTCTGCCCTATAGGAGGGTTTCCCTGCCTGGGTTCCTGTGCAGGCTCCTGGCTCCTCCACCCCCTCATCACACACCCACACCCACACCCACACCCACCACCCCACACCCACTTCTCCTTCGCAGCTGCTCCACCACCTACACCTTCCTGCCACGGAGTTGCTGGCCCGTGGGCAGGGGCTGGGGAGGCAGTGGACCAGGGCTCCTCAAAGCTGGCCCACTTGGGGTTCTGCGTGAGTCCTAGAGGCCCCGAGACAGAACCCGGGGCCAGCCTTGCCCCCCTTACTCCACAGCATCATCCCTTCCTCCTAAAGGACGGGGACATGGCTCCCGGCCTGGACCGTGGTGCCAGGCTCCTCACCTGTCCAGCCCCCAACTCCACAGCAGCCAGAGACACCGTCCCTTCTAAGCACAACTCAGAGGACCTGTCCCTCCACCCAGACACCTCCTGGGGCTCCTCCCGGCCTGGGCGCCTGTGGCCGCAGCCTCAGGCCCCTTCCCTCCATGCCCACTCCCCAGCATCCCCTGAGGCAGGGGACAGGCCTGTCCCCCGAGAGTGCCCCCTGCACCACTCCAGGCCTTTGCCCCTCTAGTCCCTCTGTCTGGAAGGTCCCCTGCCCCCCGTATCTGCTAGAGAACCATTCCTGTCCCCAAGCTGGCTCCCTGTCCCTGGACAGTTCCTCCTTCCTCTGGGTCCCCCAGCCCTGGGTGCTGAGGGGGCTGGTGTGGCCCCCCATGAGGCACTAAGCTGAGCTCCACGCTGAGGGTCTCTGCCAGCCCCTACCCCACGGAGGGGCAGCAGAAGTGAAGGATGCTGAGGGGGGGTGCGTGTGTCTGTGTGTGTGTGTGTGTGTGTGTGTGTGTCTCAGTCTGAGAGACAGGGTTGAGAGACAAGGTGGGGAACCCAAACACGGGAAAAGAAAGACAGACCTGAGGGACCTCCGTGAGATAGCGAGGTGAGCAGCCCCGCACACAGTCCTGGGAAAAAGCAGTTGGGGGGGCGAGGAGGGGGTCTCCTGGGTCTCCGTCTGCTTGTCCATCTGTTGACCTGAGCGTCCCTCCTGCTTAGGGTCTGGAGGCAGAGCTCTCGCTGGGCCCTTGGCGGCCCCTGACCCCCTGTGCCCTCCGCTCCTTGTAGCACAATGTGTGAGCTCCCCTGCCTTCTGCCAGAGGGGGCTCCTGAACCCCGGCCAGGCCCCCGGCCGGGCCTCCCTAGCACTCCCTGGCCTTCACGTTTGGGCCTTGAGGCCTTTGCACACCTGGGGCCACTTCTCTATCAAGCTTCTCTAAGCAGCCCCCCTCCATCCAGAAAACGCCTCTTCATCTCCACTAAGCCCTCCTGCACCCCCCATGGTGGTGACCAGCACCGGTGCCCGTCACAGGGCAGCGTGGACGTCCCCTGGGGGCACAGCCCATGTGGGCCCTCGGGCGGCGATTGCTGACCTGAGCCGGCTCTGCCTGGGAAAGGCAGGAGGGCTCCCCAGAGGAGGAGGCAGGTGGGGAGCTGCTGCTGGAGGGTGCCCGTGGCCATCAGCTGGCCTTGGGAGCCCGTGTACTGGCCGCAGGGCCCTCGTCCCAGTCCCGCAGAGGCCGGGCCAGTGGGCACCAACCGGGTGATGGTTGAGTGCTTGAATGGAGGAACCACAGGTAGCACGGCCTGGGGTGCAGGGCCCTGGGGCCCGGCTGGAGTGGTCCCACCCCAGCAGGCGGAGGGCGGGGCCGGGCGTGATTGGCGGCCCCGTTTCCTCCCTGCGGGCAGCCCAGGCGGCTCAGTGCCAGCGGGGCGCGCGGCGGGCAGCATGGGGCGCGCGCGGGGCCGGCGGGGCCGCAGCGGGCCGGCGCCCACGCAGTGCGCGAACACCCAGTGCTTCGACCCGCTGGTCCGCGGCTGCGTGGCCTGCAGGCTCTTCCGCACCCCGGAGCCCCGGCCGGGTAGGAGCGACCCCGCGACGGCTGCTCTGCTCGCGGGTGGCCTCGGGGACGGCGGGGTGGCTGGGGGGGGCAGGACCGGGGACCCGGAGCCCAGGCACCGCACCCCTCGTCCCAGGCCGGAGGGGGGGCGGCGAGCTGGGGGTCGCGGGCCGGGGCCTGGGTGGGGACCAGCGGCACGCGTGGCCCTCACCGTCCCTCTCCCCCTCTCTGCGCCCCCCTCCCCCTCCCCGTCCCCCCTCCCTCCCGTCCAGCCTCGCCTCCCTCCGACCCCCGCCTCCTCCCTGCCCGCCCCTCCCCGCTCTCCGTCCCCTTCCCCCCCTCCCCGGCCCCCCCTCTAGCGGCCGAGCCGAGCAGCCGGGCGCCCGGGACGGCGGTGCAGCCGCAGGAGGCGGGGGGCGCGGGGGCCGGGGCCGAGGCGCTCCCGCTGCCCGCGCTGCTGCTGGGCGCCCCCGCGCTGCTGGGCCTGGCGCTGGCCCTGGTGCTGGTGGCCGCGCTGGGCTGGCGGCGGCTGCGCCGGCCCGCGCCCCCCAAGCCCCCCAAGGCCCCGGACACGGAGTTGGACGGTGAGTTCTGCGCCAGGGGCCGACGGCACTGCCCAGCCGGAGAGGATGGGGGAGGGGGAGAGGGGGAGGGCTGGGGGGCGGCAGGGCTGGGGGGCAGGGGGTACCAACAGGGGCGAGGAGCTGCGCTGAGGGTCTCAGGCCGAGCCCAGTCCCAGGGCGGGAACAGCTGTGGCCCAGATCCCCATGAGGAAGTCACAGGCGGGGAGCCCAGCGAGAGGGTCTGTCCTGGCCTCTGGGGGGGCAGACTGGCTGCCATACTTCCTCCCTCCCCGTCAGCACCCCCACTTGGCTGCCCGCTCAGCACTTCCTGTCCTGAGGGCCCATCGCGTTCCCCCCTCACCTGCAGGGAGCCTTCCTCCACTTCCCCGGGAGGGCTGGCCTGCGGGGAGGTCTGGGACAGCCGGGCCATTCCTGACCCTGCATCCCCCCCAGAGCCCCTGGACAACGTCATCATCCTCTCTTCTGGGCCCCTTGATGCCACCGCGCCCGTCTGGCCTCCACCCGGAGAAAACCCAGCCACCACGCCCCCTGCCCACAGCGTCCCGGTGCCAGCCACGGAGCTGGGCTCCACCGAGCTGGTGACCACCAAGACGGCCGGCCCTGAGCAGCAGTAGCGACGGAAGGGGCAGGCGTGGCCCCGGCCCTCCCGTGGGCCATCGGCCGCGGGGCTGGAGGTTGAATTCGGCTCTTCATCCGGCGTCCACCTGCCCCCTACCTGGGAACCGGGCTGCTCCCAGCGAAGCCTGCAGAACCGCAGACACTGTGGGCCCAGCGGCACCGGCACCGTGGGGTGCGCATCGCGCTTGGGAGCCTCGGGCTGTGACTGAGTGGCCGGGGCACTGAGCCGGGGCCCCTCTCAGAGCGGGGAAGCCACCGCCACACAGAGCGAGTCTCGGAAAAGGACCCCGTGGGAGGATGCAGCCTTGGTAGCTGGTTTAGAATTTAACACTCACTCTCAGAGCTGCCCTGCTTTTAAACCCAGGCACACGGCTGCCGCGCTGACCCGCGCCAGTGGATGGGTTTGCTTTGGGATTTAATACACGATGACTTGACGAACAGCCTGGATTGTGCTGACTCTCAGGGGCCTGTACCCGGGTCCACCCTGAGCGTGGACCAGGCTGCTGGGACCTGTGATGCCATTCACTCCAGGGCCAGCTTCCAAAGCCCCGGCTCACACTGGAGCCCCGGCCCCTGGGGCTGACTGCACTCTCGCTGGAGGCGCAGTGAGCGGGCGTCTCCCTCAGACACCACCTGGGTCCCAGCTGCTTCCAGAGCTCACTCAGCCGGACCCAGGGCAGGGCTCGGGGCCTGCAGGCGGCTTCTTCATGGGCCTGTGGCCTGAGCCAGCGGGACCTGATGTCTCTGAAGCCCTTTTCTCCGTGGCCTGCCCTCCCCAAGTCCTGGGCCCAGTGCTGGGTCTCCTGGCCTGTCTGTGCCAGCCCCTGGGCCCCCACCATCCCAGTGGACTTGCTCCGCTGACAGTGGTGCCGCTTCGCGGGGCCGGGGGCTGAGACCATCGCTCCCACCTCAGGAGCACACGGTACTCACTCAGCCTGCCCTGCCCGCCCTGCTACCCAGGCTCGGCCCTTCTGACCAGGACTCCACCCTGGGACGAGTCCTCGGAAGGAGCACTGGACTGGGAGTCAGGAGAGGGGGCCTGGGTACCATTTTGTCCCCCTGTAGGACCTTGGCCACCTCTGTTCCCTGTATTGATGCTGTCGGCTCACCTCTTCCTGACTTGACATCAGAACTGCCCGGCAAATACCCGTCCTTCAGTCGACTCCTTTCCCAGCTCAGGAGATGATCAGCAGCCAGCCGTTCCCCCGCCCCCCCCCCCCCCCAGGACCTGGACACTCTAGGTCTCTTCCTAGCCACTCCCTCCCCCAGCGCATCTCACGGAGCCAGGTGGCTGGGGTGGGGGCAGGCGGCACGCAGTAGGCAGCAGGGTGAGGGGCAGGCCCTGCATGGCCCCAGTCGTCCACTCTCCTCCATCTGAGCTGATTCAGGCCACCCCATCCCCCAACCCACCTTTTCCACCGGAGCCCCAGCCGGCCCTGGAGGGGAAACAAGTGGTTGAAACGCCTCTGGGGCCTAGACATGCAAACCTCAGGCCCCAGGGTGTCCTGGCTGAACCTCTGGCTAATATGCAGCTTCCTCTTCGGTCTCAGTTTCCTTTGCAGAAAAATGGGGGGGGGGGGGGGGGTTGGATACAAAGTTCTCTTTGGCCTGTGACCCTCAGAGGAGAAGGACTGGAACCTTGGAGAATCCTCCTGCCTGCCCAGCCTCCCCCCCCCCCCCATTTCACAGATGAGGAAACTGAGCCCAGAGAAGGAGACTTGCCGTTGTCGTCCAGCAGATAACAGGGAAGTTCACTAGGGAAGAACCAGGAGCAGAGGCCCGGGGAGAGGTGGGCAAGGGGGGGTGAGTCTCGCCCCAGCTCGCCAGAGGGTCCCTACCTCCAGGGCCTCCAGTCCCTGGCCCTCTGTTCTCGGCATTGCTTTCTAAGGAGCCTTGGAAGGTGACCTCATTTGGTCTTTATTATAGCACCTGGTGGAGGGGAGGGGGCGGTTGTGTTTGCTTCAAGCAGATGTTTTTAATTTTAAACATCAAGGCATGCATTTTGTAGCTGTTTCGGAAAGTTTGAGACAGCAAGCCAGGATGGAGTCTACAGAAAAATAGCCCATAATCCAGCAGCACCAGGCCGCGTGGTGGATTTCCTACGTACTTGCAATCATCCTAAACACACGAGTTCATATCTTGACTGTCAGACTGTGAGTTTCCTCTCGTCTTTAAGCACTTCCTAAACAAGATGAAAACCTTACAAACGTCGGAAAGTCGGCCACTAGAGCATTGGGTTCATTTTAGTTTTCACAGTGGTTCCCCCTTGTCCGCAGTTTTACTTTTTGGTTACCCAGGGTCCAAGGATATTAAACGGAAGATTCCAAAATTAAACAATTTGTGCGTTTTAAATTGCGCGCTGTTGTGAGTGGCGTGATGAACTCTCGCGCTGGCCTGCTCCGACCTGCCTGGGACGGAATCCTCCCTCCGGCTGCTCTCTGGCCGCGCTCCCTGCCCTGGGTCACTTCGCCATCACGGCCTCGAGTGCTGGTGTTCAAGTCCCCCTAATTCTACCTAACAATGGCCCCCAAACACCAGGGCAGTGATGCTGGCAACCCACAGAAGCCAAACAGAGGCCACAAGTGTTTCCTTTAAGTGAAAAAGTCAAAGTTCCCGCCTTACTTTGGAAAGAGAGGAACTGTGCTAAAGTTGCTAAGGTCTACAGTAAGAACAAATCTGCCCATGAAATTGTGAAGGAGGAAAAAGAAATCCGTGCTAGTTGCTGTTGCACCTCAGACTGCAGAGGTTGCAGCCGCCGTGAGTGGTAAGTGCTGAATTAGGATGGAAAAGACATGACATTTGCGAGGGGGAGGCGTGAACACAACACAGGTTCTGACCCAGGGCAGCGATTGTGCCGGAAAGCACTGAGCCCGTACAGACTGCGGAGACCCCTGAGTGGCTACAGTCACATAACTGTATTACAGTGCATTGTTGTAATTGTTCTGTGTTATTCGTTACTGTGCTAATCTCTTACTGTGCCTGATTTACAAATTAAAATTTGTCGTAGGCGTGTCTGTATAGGAAAAAACATAGTATATATGGGGTTCAGTACTATCAGTGGTTTCAGGCATCCACTGGGGGCCTTGGACCCAGTCTCCCACGGATAACGGGAGACTGCCGTATGTTGTAACTGAGGCAAGAGCACCTTTTTTTGTCTTGTTAATCCTCACCTGAGGATATTTTTCCACTGATTTCTTTAGAGCAGTGGGAGGGAGAGGGAGAGACAGAGGGAGAGAAACATCGATATGAGAGAGACACATAGATTGGTTGCCTCCCACACACGCCCCTACCAGGAACCTTCAAATGGGGTACGGGCCTGTTGGGGACAAGTTCTCAAGTCAGGACTTGACCCCTCTGCGGGCAGGAAATTGGAAGAACGCGCGAATGACAATAGGTTTATTAGGAGCAAAGTAGCCACAACTGACTGTCGTGACACCTTATACACGCGTGCGCACACACACACGCACACACACACACACACACAGGCTCAAACTAAAGAGGCCTCATGTCAATTAGTGCCACCAGTGCCACAGTAACATAAGCAGGTTACCTAAAGGTGAGTCCCTGCCCCGCGCATGCGTAGGGCAAAGGGGGCCTTTAATACAGCAATACTCACTGCTGTGTCCTTGCCTGTACGCATAGGTGTGGCGAGCAGGCCTTGACCCTCTGGCGTACTCTGGGCCCTTCACTGGAATCAAACCTGGGACCCTGAGCCAACCGGCTGCTCGGCGGTAGCACCTTCTTGTACATAAATCTTTGCCTAAGTCTCTGTGTCCCAGAAGAAGAGTTGTTGCAGCCAAAGGCCTCAACTTTCCTATTTATTTATTTTTAAATGTTTTTATTGATTTCAGAGAGAGGAATGGGGAGAGAGGGATAGAAACATCCATGATGAAAGAATCATAGATTGACTGCCTCCTGCACGCCCCCTACTGGGGATGGAGCCTGAACCCTGGGCATGTGTCCTGACCGGGAATCGAACTGTGACCTCCTGGTTCATTGGTTGATGCTCAACCACGGAGCCACGCTGGCTGGGCACGGCCTGACCTTTTTAAAGGCTCCTGTTGGCTGAATTGCTTTTCTGCACATCGGGACCAATTCATGTCCATAAACGGGGATTAGATGGCACGTTTTGCTGACAGGAAAAGAGAGGCCGGGAGAGGTCAAGGGGTCCGGCCTGAGATACAGTGAGCAGTGGTGGAGCTGGGCGAGACCAGGCTCGGGCCCTGCCCCTGCTCCATCGAGAAGGCCACGGACACAGGTGCCCTCAGTGAGGGGCCGGACACAGGTGCCCTCAGTGAGGGGCCGGCGTCAGGGACTGGCCCAGGTTCTACTCCTTCTTTCATCTCTAACTCAGAGATTTCTCTCTCCAGCTGGTCTCCTGCAGTAAGAGGGGTCCAAAGAGCCTGGAAGAGCTGCTTGTTGGGGTGGGGACAGAGGGAGGCAGCCCCCCGCCCGCCCCCTGCCCCCGGGCCTGGCCAGTTTCTCCTGAAGGAGGGTCTGGGTGGGGCGGCTGAAGTCTCGGTTCCCCCTGGCTTCCTGCAGGCGCCTTTCACTTCCTGCGCTGCAGCCTGGCTCCGGGTGGGGGCGGGGAGGCCCAGCTGGCACGGCCGGAGGAGGAACCTGACCCCTCCCTCCCTGTCTCCGCCAGGATGGCCCTGCCAGGCCCTCGCCGTCAGAAGCTGGTGCCATCTCTCTGGGCCTGTCTCCCCATCTTCAAAATGGAGCCGGAGGGCCACCCGCTGTTCAAGACGGAAAGAGGTTAGTCGGGCAGGCGTGGCTCAGCGGCTGAGCATCGACTTACGAACCAGGAGGTCACGGTTCCATTCCCGGTGGATTCCCAGTCCGGCCATACGCCCGGGTTGCGGGCTCGATCCCAGAGTGGGGTGTGCAGGAGGCAGCCGACCAATGATTCTCTCTCATCACTGATGTTTCTCTCCCTCTCTGAAATCAATAAAAAAAAATTTCCCCCCAAAATTAAAGAGGTCATGTGGCAAGTAGGGTCCCCACCTAGGCATGCCTCCCCCTCCTCCCTTCCCCGGGGCACAGGCGCCCCCTGCCCAGCGCCCCCCCACCCCCTTCAGCATCCCCTCCGGGAAGTGGGTTTCTCGGAGCTGGTCTGGGCTCCGGCTCAGCAGTTACCACCCCGTCACTCACACGCCTGCTGGTGCCTGGGCCACTCGGGTGCTGGGAGGTCAGCCCAGGCCTGGCATTGGGTCCCTGTCTGATGGGAGAGGCAGGGCAGGGCACAGGGACAGCACAGGGCGGTCCCACAGGCCCGGGGAGTGTCCCACGCAGGGGGGAGACGAAGCCGGCCTCCAGGGAGTGCTGATGAGTAGGAGGCCTGCCCTGAATCCTGAGGCAGTTTTCCGGCTGGATTCTGTCCCCAGGGGACTGTGCTGAGGTTTGGGGGCGAGGGAGCAGGAGCAGGGGAGCAGCTGGAGGGGTGAGCCCCAGGCCGGAGCCCCAGGCCCGCGGGGACAGCCCTGCTCAGGGCACCCGAGCGCCCCTCCAGCCCACCACGGGGTGCCTCCCCCTTGCTTTCCTGGGGCCCAGGCCCCTCGCATTCCTCTGGGCGGAATGAGCTCCTATTTGCTCTGCGGGGGCGACTCTGGCCAAACTGGAGCTGAAATCTGACTTCTCCCCAATCTGTGCCCCTTCCCAGCCGCCAGGTCCTGCCCGGGTCACGGAGAGTGCGGGGGAGCCAGGCAGCCCCAGCTCTGCCCGGGCTCGAAGGTGGGGAGGCTGCGGGAACGCCCCGGGGGCCCAGCGCCCACAGGGTCTCGGAGCATCTCCGCTCCTTTGAGCTGCAGAGGACCTGGGGTCCAGCCCCGACGTCCAGGCGGATCCGGGGGGGTTCCGGCGAAAGTTACCCGCGCGGTTCCGGCGGTCAGCCCAGCGGCACCCCGACTGCCAACCGCTAGGCGCGGACCCGCCTCGGTTCCCAAAGGGAAGGGCCGGGCTAGAGGCTCGGCTGGGGGCGGGCCAGGGGGGGCGGGGCTCGGAGACCCCCGGACTTGCAGGAAAGGGGCGGGGCGGGGCCGGAGGAAAAGGGAGGGACCCCGGGAACGTGCCAACCGGACCTTCTCCAAACCTGGGCCTCCGCGCTCACGGGGGTCCTCTCCCCACGCGCCAAGGGCCCCGGACGCAGCGCATGGCCCGGACTGTGGGGCGAGGGGTTTGCGCGGGCGCAGGACGTCTCCCCGCGTTCTGGGCTCGGAGCTGACCGCGCAGTTGGGCCCCAGGACCCCGCAGGCGGGGCGGGCTGTCCGGATGGACGCGCGTGTGGCCCCGCCCGGTCCTCTCTGGCTCTGCTCCCGCCCTTGGTCTTGGGGGCGGCCAGCTCCGGCCCTGCACATTCACTGCGGCCTTTGGAGGGTCCTGAGGGGAGACTAACGGGGTGCTCCAGGCAGACGGATTAGCTGTGAGGGCTGCAGCACGCGGGGGGGGGGGGAGCTGGGGAGAGGGCGCTTGGGGAATTGGGGCAGGAGGCTGCGCCCCAGCTCCCAGTGCCCCATCCGATCCCCGCTCGCTCAGGCCTCGGGAGCCCAGCACCCCCTCCTCCCACAGGCAGCTGGAGCCTGAGTCACCAGCTGCCTCTCTGGGAGACAAAGGAGCGCAGGGCCCTCCCCTCCGGACCCCCCTCCAGCCTGGCACCCATCTGCGCGAGCAGCGAGCCCAGGGCCTCTGCCTGCAATCCCCGCCCCCACCAGCCAGGAAATAGACGCAAAGCGGGCGGGAGCGAGGCTTTGAGACCGTGGATGGCCCCTCGGTGGCAGTCACCAGCTGCCCAGCCCAGCGGTGAGGGCCCCACCTGCCGCCTGTATCTGCGTGCTTCTCAGTCACCGACCCCCTGGCTTCTCCCTGTACCCTGCCCAAGAGGTGCGAGCAGCCCATCTTGCAGATGGAAAACTGAGGCCTAGACAGGTCCCACGGCTCTATTCAAGCAGAAGTTGCAATGGATGTTATTCTGGCTCCAAAATGAAGGAGTTGGCTCGCAGGAGCCGGGGTGCCTTGGGCATGGGTCAGAGGTTTGGTCAGGTGTGGGCGTGCGGTCAGGGTGTAGGAACGTGCTGGGGCCGGGGTCCCCCAGCTTCTCCCTCTGCTCCTAGTGAACTGGCCAGAAGGCCGGTCGGGGCTCACCGTGCAGGTTCCAGGCCAGACCCCCCCCCTTCCTGGCTCTGTGCGGGTCACAGCAGCCACTTCCCCTTCCTGGGTCTCGGGTTTCTCTCTAGGAAACGCCAAACCCCCTGGCCCAGGGCTGGGCAGAGGGGCCACCCCCATCTAAAGTGGGGACAGTGAGGGCCAGCAAGGCTTTCCCTGAGCTACAGCTGGGCACTGAGGGAGGGCTCAGCAGCAAGGAAAGAACATGTTTTCGCAGGTGCATCCACGCTGACACACACGTGTACATATGTGCCTGGTGCAGGGAAGGCAGCCGTAGCCACACCAGCCCCGGACAGGCACCCTCACTCAATTTCATGCGCACGCAGACTCCCGCACACGCAAGCGGCAGCTGGGGGGTGGGGCAGGTGCCCTTCAGGCTCAGAGACAGTCTCCTGCCCGCCCTGCGGGGCTCACTGCAGATGCCAGGGGTTATTTTAAGCTTGGATCAATGGACAATTTTTGGTGACACAGGCCTGGGGGGTGGTGAGCTGAGGAGACAAGAGGCAAGTGCTCTGCTACAGAGGGAGACCCCAGGCCCAGGGAGGGCAGCCTGGAAGCTGGGCTGCTCCATGTCCACACCCCCTTGCCCGGCACATGGCTGGGTACCTGCGGGGGGGTGGGGGGGGTGGTGTCAGCTGGATAACTGGCCACCTCCCAGGGCTCAGCCAGCCAGCTGTGGTCTGTCTTCACCTTTGCTCCCTGTTGCCCGCCACCCCCAGGCTGTGTGTTCATATGCAGAGAGCACTGAGTGCCTGGCATGGACGGACCTGGTGGGTGTGGGCATCTCTGGTTGCTGGCTGACCATGAACCAGACTGAGCTGGGGAGGAAGCGTGGATGTGGGAGGAGCTGGAGGTGGGACCTCAGTCCGTGGGGTGAGGGGACTGGACTCTGCTTCTTTGTTGGACACATGGAGAGGGGCTCTGGGCCCAGCAGAGTCACCCTACTTGGGAAGAGGCCACCGTCCCAGGAGGCAGAGACAAGCCTCTTTACACCTCGTGCCCAGCAGGAGGGTGGGAGAGGGTGGAGAACCGGCCGCCTTCGGAGCCCTGGTGACTTAGAGGGCAGCTTGGCAGAAAGTGTGAGGGGGCACTGATGCCGACGGGATTGTGCCATGGAGTCTATTTCGAGGAATGCTCCCTAAGGAAGCAGGAAAGGGTGCATCAGCAAATATAGCTACAGAGTTCTCAACAGAACAACAACGGGAAGTTTGACATCGGAAAGTGAACTGAATAAAGGGAGCCAAATGTATGGTAACAGAAGATCTGAACAACAAAATAAAGGCAGACTAAACCCAGTTACAAGGTGGCATGGAAGCGGCGACGTACCTCAGCATCAGTGGTCCCTGGTGAGGGGATGAAGGTGATTTCATTTCATCCCTTTGCTCATTTATTTTCTTTTTCTCAAAATCTGTAACAGTCTTTTAATAGGCCAGGGTCATCAGGGCTGGATCTGAGGAGTGTTGTGTGTGTGTGTGTGTGGGGGGGGGGAAGGCTGTCTCATTGGCCAGGACACAAGCACCCTGAGGGGGTGTTGCAGAGAGCTCACCCCCCTTCCTGTCTTAGCCCACTAATACCTGAAATTAGTCTGTCAGCCCTTCGTCTCAGCAACAGGACCTGATCCTCCTTAAAATGTAAATCCTCCTCCCTCTTCTCCCACCTCCTCCCTTTTTATAAGCTGATCCCAGTCGCTGAGTGAAGAGAAGATGCAAAGGGGAGCGGACCCTATGAGCCCAAAGTCTTCACGTTATAGACACTAGAGACTAGAGTCATTCATTCATTCATTCATTCATTCATTCATTCATTCATTCGGTGTATATGGGGGAGGCCTGCGCTTTGTGGAGACACTGGCAGAACTGAACCCTCTCCACATCCCCATGTGGACAATGGGAGGCACCATATTGACCCCTGCCTCTTGGAGTGGGCGCTAGACGAATCAGCCCCCTACGAAGTGGGGTTTTTTTTTTCTTCTTAATGTTAAGATCAGAAACAGAGGCAGAGAGAAGCAAAGAGCTGCTCTTGGTCGCATTCGCCAGCTCCCCGCCTGTCCACCTGGGTACCCGCCCCAGCACCTGGCCCAGCGCTTGTGAAAGGACCAGAGGGCCTGCAGGGGGCAGGACAGAGGGTCCGCCATGGCCTCGCCCCCCTCTTCGATGGCAGGGGCCGGCTGGGGTGGTCCCCCTTACGCACAGGGGGCCCGGCAAGGCCAAGGCCAGCGCGCCAGGTGCGGGGACACCCCAGGACCCCAAGCCGGCGTCCAGGAGATTCTGGGACCGGGCGCGAGCCCCCAGGTTAACGCTGCGCCGCAGCAGCGCGGAGGGGACCCGAAGGTGCAGAGCGGGGAAGGGACCTGCCTCGGGTCTCACCTCTCGGTCCCGATCTGAACGGACGGAGGGACGAGGACGCGGCGGAGGGGCGGCGGGCGGCAATGACCGCCTCTCCCGCGGCTGCCCGTCCGCTCACCTGGGAGACGCAGGCGCGCGCGCGGCGGGCCCGTGTCCGCAGCCACAGTCCCGATCCCGGGAGCGCCCAGCTGCGGGAATGATTGCGGGAGGGGTCCCGGGGGGCGCCCCGGCCCCGCGGGCCCGCGCCCCTCCCGCCCCTGGCGGCGCCGCGCTCCTCCCCGGATCTGCTCGCTCCCTCCCGCCCTCCTTCCCGCGCTCCCTCCTCCCCCGCCCGCCCAGCCCGCCGAGCCGGAGCCGGAGCCGGAGCCGGAGCCGCAGCCGGAGCCGGAGCCGCAGCCGCAGCCGCAGCCAGAGCGCGGGCAGCGGAGCGGGCGGCGGGAAGGGCTCCGTCAGGCGGCCCGCCGCCCCCGCCAGGCCCGCCCGCTCCCCCGCTTTGGGGCGAGGCTCGGCCCGCGCGCAGGTGACGACCCGCCTCCCGGCCCGGGGACGTCCCGGGGCGCCGACCGGCCGCCTCAGGTCCGAGGTGAGCCCGGGCGGAGGACTCACCGGCCCGAGAGCAGGTGGAGCCCACGCGGGCCTGGGGTTCTCGGAGGCGACAGACGGTCGAGGAGGCAGCCGGCCCCCCGCGATCCCGGCGGCCGCGGCGCGCGCCATGCGAGGGGCGTTGTAGCCGAAGGTGCGGGCCCGATGGAGCGGGCCGGGGTGCGGGGGCCGCGCGGGGGCCACGGCCCGGGGCTCCGGCTGGCGCTCGGGCTGTGGCTGCTGCTGGCGCGGCCGCCGTCGGGCCGCGCGGGGGCCCCCGAGGCTCCGGAGCCCGCGGCCCCGGGCACGGCGGCCCCGGCCCGCGGCGACCGCTGCCGCGGCTACTACGACGTGATGGGCCAGTGGGACCCGCCCTTCAACTGCAGCTCCGGCGCCTACAACTTCTGCTGCGGCACGTGCGGCTACCGCTTCTGCTGCCACGACGGGCCGCGGCGCCTGGACCAGAGCCGCTGCTCCAACTACGACACGCCGGCCTGGGTGCAGACCGGCCGGCCGCCCGCGCGGGCCCGCGACACCGCCGCGCACCGGGACCCGGGCCGCGAGCGCAGCCACACGGCCGTCTACGCGGTGTGCGGCGTCGCCGCGCTGCTGGTGCTGACGGGCATCGGGGTGCGCCTGGGCCTGGAGAGGGCGCACAGCCCGCGCGCGCGGCGCACGGTGACCAGGTGAGCGCGCCCCTCCCGCCGGACGGCCCTGCCTGCCCGGGGGCGCCCCCTCGCCACCCTCCATCCTTCGCGCCCCCCTCGAACCCTGGTCCTCTTCCTCCGGGTCTCCCTCCCCGTCTCGGTCTGTCTCTGTTTCCTCCACCCCGCACTTCACGGAGGGAGACAGCTGATACCGCCCTGTCTCCCCTTGACCTTCCGGCGGAGCTGGGTGCTGGGCCGCCTCCCGCGTGTGGGCGGGGAAGACCGGTCGCCCGACAGGGGGCACCATTTCCGCGCCCAGGGGAGGAGGTCTGGGGTCCGAGCCCCATTAGCGGAGTGGGGGCGTGGCTATGTCCTGTTGGGTGTCTTGGGCCCCGAGGGAATGGAAGGGGAGGACTGTTCTGCACCTCCCTTGGCTCTCCAGCTTCTCCCCTCACTTCTCCCTCCCTCCTTCCACCCCCTTCCCTGCCCTCCCATAACTGTGACTCAGGCCTGACCTTTCCCTGGGGTTTCAGAAGGCCCCCCAACTCACCCCACTCAGTACCCACAGGCGAGGGTCCCCTGGTGCAGAAAGGGGATGGCCGTGTGGGAGGCCTAGACAAGTGCAGGCTGGGTGCTGAGCTCTGTGTCAAGTGGGATGTGCAGGTCCCAGGTTTCTTTCCTCAGGGACTCCGGGATTCTGAGCCTGGAGCCCTCAGCACACCCCACACTCACACACCCGCCCCCAGCCACCCTCTTGTCCTGGTCCTTGGCCCTCCTCACTCCGGTCCTGTCTCCCTTGGGCACGTAGGCTCCTGACACTGCAGGTGACAGGCTGGTATTTAGAAGTGACAGTAGAGAGAGGCCTCTATGCCTGGGTGAGCCAGCTGTGGATGCTTCCCTCTCCGAGGCCTCAGGGGCAGAGGAGAGCGCTTCGGCCGCACTCCACTGGACCTCCTGTCCTCAGACCATTGAGCCCACGACTCCCAGATGGCTGCAGGGCAGAGCTGGGGCTGCCTGGGACCCTGGCCTCCGTGTCTGTGCTGCCTTTGTGATGTGGGGGCTCTCGGCCTGGGTCCCGGATGCTGCAGGGGCAGGGCCTGGGCCTGGGCCTCTGGAGCTTGGAGTCCCTCCTGCTGGGTGAGGGGAGAGATGGAGCATGTCCTTGACCAGAGTGGGCAGCAGGAACGGAGGGCTAAGATGGGATAGATGGGGTGGCCGGGGCAGCCTCCTGACATGTTCACCTTGAACCTCCTCCATCGGGAAGCAGGTCCGGGGAACTTCAGGAAGAGCTGGCCCAGCCCTAATGTGTGCTGTGGCCGGGCAGTCCTTTCCTCTTTGAGCTGCAGGCACCCATGTGCCCCGACTCCCTTTTCTCCTATGGGGAGACCTGGAACCCAACTTGAACTCATGGGTGATGTGTTGTGAATCCCTGTGCTCTGCCCTCGCCCCCCCCAAATCTCACCTGTAATTCTGCCTGTTGAGACTGATGGTTGGTAGGAAAGGTTTCGCAGAGGGCTTAGAGGGGAGCTGGAGTCCGTCCCTAGAGAAAGTTTGTGCAAAGGCCTAAAGGCATGGGGATTGCTCAGGTTTCTGGGAGAGCTGGCTGAGGGGTGTTTGTCAAGAGATGAGAGAACACGGATGGGCAGCCGAGGCGTGGGCGGGGCATGAAGGTCAGCTCAGGTAGGCGTGGGTTTTCAGACCTGCCACGCTGCAGCCAAACTGCCCTGCCCCAGGTGTCCCACCCCAGTGTGCTTCTTCACAAACCAGTCACTTGAGGCCCCAACCCCAGAAGGAGGGTCAGACGGAGCTAGGAGAAAATCATGGGTTCCGGGCGCTGAAGCAGCTGGGCTGAAGGCTAGGTCTGGCTGTCTGCTGGGAAGGCTAAGTTAGATGCTGTCACAGCTGGGGTGGGGCTGGATGTCCTGGTACCCAGGGAGGCCACTGCCCAAGGTCACACAGCCTTTGATGCTGGGCAGCCACAGGGACACCTCCTGACTGCCCTTCCCTTCTGTCTGTCCTCCATGCCAGTGCTGGCAGCTCTGTCCCAGGACCCAGCAGAAGCCCCTGCGGCAGGAGGGGAGTTAGGTAGGCCGGCTTTAGGCTTCCTGGAAGAGGCCTTCTGGCCAGGTTTGAAGAATGGGCGGTTTTATGGGAGGAGATGGAGGAAAGGGTATTGTCAGCAGCAGCAGCCGGGGGAGCCAGGTCCAGGAGACTGATCGGCTCACAGAACTTGTGTTGGGACAGGAGGCTCATTTGGAGGGTTTTGGAGAGTGGACTCCAGGAAGGGGCAGGGAGGGCTTGGAAGACAAAGTGGCCCTGGTTATACATGGCCTCATTTGAGTGCTCTGTGAGGTGGCCGTGTTGGGGCCACAGGTGGTGCCTGGCAGTGGAAACGAGAGGTGTAAGGTCAATCACAGAGAGAAGGGAGGCCCAGAGAGGTTGAAAGAGCTGCCCAGAGCCGCACGGTGAGGCAGTGGTGGTGGGGGCTGGCCTTTGATAGGCAGGGCCTGGCCGATGGGGCAGCTGGAGGCTGGGAGGCCTGTGCTCCCCGCAAGCTTCTCCTCACCCTCTCCCCACAGGACACTGACGGAACTTCTGAAGCAGCCAGGCCCCCGGGAGCCACTGCCCCCGCCTCTGGGCCCACCTCTGGGCAGCTGTGTCCAGGTGCAGATGTGCGATGGCCTCCCCCGAGGCTCCCCCCACAACAGCACAGGTGAGTAGGCTGGTGGGCAGGCATGTGATGACGTACAGCGCAGGCCTCCCTCGTCTGACATGGGCCTGGGAGCCAGGGAAGGGTGTGCCGGAGGAAGAGGCTCAGAGCAAGCTGCTTCCAAATGAAAATGAGCTGCGGCCTCTGTAGGTGTGTGAGTGGGGGCTGGGCAAACTGGTCAGCTCTCCTTGGTGGCGAGAACCCCCTTCCCTACTCCCACCCCCAGGGGTCCTGCAACCTCCAGCCTCAAGGACTCTGTGAGGAAGGTTCCCGATTGATTCAGGGATCCCTGGCTCCGCTGTGGTTCCAGGCTCAGCACCCTGGGGTCTGCCTGGCCAGGGTCTAGGGCAGCGTTTCTCAACCTGTGGGTCACGACGCCTTTGGCGTTCGAACGACCCTTTCACAGGGGTCGCCTAAGACCACCCTGCATATCAGATATTTACATTACGATTCATAACAGTAGCAACATTACAGTTATGAAGTAGCAACGAAAATAATTTTATGGTTGGGTCACAACATGAGGAACTGTATTTAAAGGGTCAGAAGGTTGAGAACCACTGGTCTAGGGCTTCCTGCAGGCCTTTCCCTCCAGGCTGAAGCTTCCCTCTTGGCCTCTGATTGTAGAGTCGGGCTTGACTGCACCCCTTGTCCCCCCTACCCCCACTGTGGGTTCTAATCCTCCCACCCCCTCCATCGCCATCAGGCACCAGGAGCGGGTCTGGGGGCCTCTGCCTGGCTCAAGCTAACATGCTGGCGAGTGGCCCATTAGATCGGCACCCACTCAGGACTGGCTGCTATGCATGTTACTATAAGCCAGACCCTGTTACCGGCGCTGGAGATTCTGCCACGAAGACAGGTTCCGCTTTGTCTCACCCAAATGGCCATCCAACTGAACTGCTGCTGGGAGAGGCTGTGGGAGAGGGTAGTGTGTCCCCGGTCAGCGGGCTGAGTCTCATCTGCCCCCTTCCCGCTCTAGACAAGAAACGCCACACCCACGTGCCCCTGGGGTCGGCGACCCCGGGGCCCCCGCGCGGCCCGCGGCTGCAGGGCAGCGGCAGCCTGACGCTGCAGCCGGACTACGCCAAGTACGCCACCCTCAAGGCAGCCACGTTCAAGGCCTCAGGTGAGTGGCCGAGGTTGTGCGAGGAGCGCCGGGCCCACCGGGTTGCAAAGATCCCAGCTTTGCGGGTCAGCAGCTTCCGCATGGCGCTGGGCCTCGGGCGCACCCCACGTCCTGATCCGCAGGCCGGCGGCGACCCCTGCGGCATCCCGACCCCAGGCATCCCGACCCCAGGCGTGGGAAGCCCCGCATCAGACCGCCCCTCCCGGCCCCGCCCCCGCGGCAGGCCCCGCCCCCAACCCCCGCTCTGTCCCTACAGAGGCCGCCCCGCAGGACTTCTACCCGCACTTCCCGGCGCCCGGCCCCGCCCCGCTGACCCTTCCGGCGCGGCCCCCGCGGCCCCCAGAGGACCTGTCCGCGCTGCTCGACGCCTGCCCCTGGGCCCCGCCCGGCTACGCGCCCCACGCCGGCCCCGCCCCGACGGGCCACGGCAAGGCCTGGACCACCGGCCGCCCGGCTCGGCCATCTCCTCGCGGCCACCTGGTGGCTCAGGCCGCCCCTGCCCCCCGGCGGTCCGGCCACCCCCGGCGCGTGGAGAAGCTGCCCAAGGCCTTCCGCCCGCAGCCCCCTGGCCTGTACAGTTGCGCGGTTCGTGGACACCTGAGCACCAACAGCAAAGCAGAGGTCACCGTATGAAGACGGGGCTGCTGGTTCTTCGAAGCATTCCCTCTACCAAGGATCCGCCATCAGCCTGGTCGGGGGCTAGGGGCGCCCTCCACCTAAGTCCAGCCCTTCCGCCTGCCCAGGCTGGACTGGGGGCCTTGGAGCCTGTGGGGCTAAGAAAGGGCCTGTCCTGGGCGTCCTAGGGCCCCGGTTCGCATGTAAATAAACCCTTTTCTGTGGTTCCCATCCCTGAGAATAAAGGAGCCCCAGCTTGGCTCTGAGAGGGGCTGATGGCAGGTACTGGTCACTGACTGGACAGACGGCAGTGCGGGCAGAGGGCACAGCATATGCAAGAGCGGAGGACTGTTCCCCAGAGCTATGGGGGAGAGGGGGTTCTAGGAGCCGGGAGAAGTGGCTGGAGGAGGTGGTAAGGGCTGAATGCCAACACCAGTGGGCCCAGGGGAGAGGCAATTAGCCATCTTGAGGCTCCTGCACAGGTGAGGGCTGGAGGGTCCATGCCCCTGACTGAAGGTGAGCACCCCCTCCAGCGACCACCCACTCTACAGCTTGAGTTGGCCGAGCCAGGCTGATCTTCATTGACATCGTCTGGCGCTGGGCCGGCCCCTGGCCTGCAGGCCACTTGGTCAGCTTGGCCCAGAGCCACCCCCCTAATGGGTGTGGGCAGTGGGCCCGGTGGACAGCTGGTGCTCAGGGTGTCAGAGCCTCCGCCCAGTAGCTGCTCTGGAGGGAAAGGGGATGGTGATGCTGGACCCTGAGCCCTGGCAGGGCCCCCGCAGGGGTGCTCACACCACACATGCTTGGCACTGCCAGCTCTCCCCTTTCCTGCCAGGCAGGCTCCAGGCACCTGGCTGTGGCCCAGGGCAGTGCCAGCAGCCTGCGCACATCGGCTTTCTGTGACAGGTACTATTGGGGAGGCTGAGGGTTGGGCTGTGGGCCTTGTGTGAACTCAACAAAGCCACCCAGTTGGGCCTTTGCCCTCTGTGTACCCTAGGCATGGGATACTGTTTTAATAAAAATGGCCCCCGTTTGTTGCCGTTTCTTTCATTCAGATCTCACAGAAGCTCATGGGTGTATGGCTTTACAATAAGGAAAACTGAGGTTCTGAGACCTAAGTAGCTTGCCAAGGTCCCCCAGCTGACTTGTTTCTGGCTCCTCCATATTCTCTGCCACTGTGGCCCGATGGTGGCATGGCAGGCGGTGGGCGGTCGGAGGAGGGGAGGCTATGAGCATGTGTTGGTGGAGAGGGGCCCTAGGGTGCAGGCAGCCTCAGACCCCCTCCCACTGGCTGGGCTGCCCTGAGGCGCCAAACCCAGCAGCTCTTCCCCTGCAGGCTGGTCCACCTCAGTCTAAAGGCTGTTGAGGAAACCAAGGCCCAGAAGCCCCAAGAGCAGAGCCTGGAGCCCATGTCCTGCCTGCTGTGAGGGCTCCGAGGGCTGTGAGGGCCCCGACAGCTTCACACCCTCAGCCCAGAGTGGGGGTGGGGTGCTCCAGGGCCTCTCCTGAGCTGTGTGGAGCCAGGGGAGGTGGGGTGGGTACTGAGTCATGTAGCCAGCCCAGAACCACAGAAAAGGACCAGGTTCTTGGGCGCATCGGCCACCCACGATCACCCACCTGGGACAGGCCCTGGCTGTGCTGGGGGAGATGGCCTCTAACTCTGCTCCTTCGAGGTCCCAAGGACCCTGGACCTCCATCCCAGGGGCCAGGGTGTGGCCATGGGCACGACCACCAGTGGGAATGCTGCTTTGAGAACTGTGGGCAGGGACCAGCTGCAGCTGGGCCCCTCCTCCCCTTGGGACAGTGTGGCCTGCTGTGACTGCTTCAGAGAAGACAGTGGCTGAGGGGCCTGGGCCCATTTCTCAGCCAGGCTGGGTGACCATGAGCTTCAGGCCCAGGCTCATTACCGCACAGCACTCCACCTCCAATGGGCTCAGCTCTCCTGCCCCCACCACTCCCTGTGGTCTGGCCCCTCACCAGCCTCACAAGGTGCCTACCGTAAACTGACACTTTCAAACCAGCTAACAAACCTATGGGGACTGTAGCCAAAGGCAGGGATGTCATCCCATTCTGCATGCATGCAAGTGGAGGCTGAGGCCACCCAAGGTGACCCAGCCGGGATTAGAGGAGCTGGACTTGGATGTGACTTGTGGGCCCGTGAGTCTCCTCAGTCTCACTGCCCCTAGGGAGGATGGGAAACTGAGGGGCAGCCACCCAGTAAGGGAGAGATTTATGTGAGAGGGGTGAACACAGGGCCTAGCACCCCAAATCCCCAAGAACTGCTGTCAGCCAACCAGCCAGCTCTGTCCTGGACGCAATGAGCAGGCCTGTCCCAGCCGTGGAGTGTGTGCCAGGCGGCCAGTGTGGAAGGAGGGCCAGGTGCAAGGGTGGGGGAAGGAAGCGCTCAGCACAAAGGGAGGGGCATCCTCAGTCCCTGGCCCACTGGAGGCCAAGCCATGCAGCCAGCTGGCTAGTCACCACAGTGGTCACACTACAGACCCTCACACACCTCATGCTGGGTGGTACCAATCGGTGTTTATTGAATAACCTGCATCCAGGACATGGTGAACGATTCCACATCAAGGCTGCCATTGGCGTATCCCCCTTTCAGTGAAAAACCACTCCCTCCCACCCCTAAACAATGAGAAAAGGCACAGTATATACACGTGACACAAGGGCCATACATTACAGTGGGAGGGGAGGGGGGCAAGAGAAAGGAAGTGGGCACAGTCCAGGCTGACCCGCACTTATGTCAGGGTGGCCCCGCTGTGTGCATGCCCCAACCTGTGCCAGGCCCCTGCCCCCTCTCCGGCCCAACCAACCTGAGGGGATGGGAAGCACAGGGAGGGAGGCAGGACAGCTCCTCTCCGCGCCCCAGCAGGCTCTGGGGTGCCCAGCAGTCCTCAGGCCCCGGAGAAACCACCTCAGAGGAGGCACCAAGCCAGGGAACCCAGAAAAGTGGCACCACTTTTCCTCCCAGGACCCCCATCAAGGCAGGGGCCTCATTCCTGGTGCCCATCCCAGAAAGGGGCTTGTCACTGAGGGCTGGTCCCTACCACCCTGGCTTATTTTCAGGTGAGGAATGAGGGATAAAAACAGACCATGGAAGTAGGAGTTGGATGGGAGGGAGCTGAGAACCCACGCTGAAGACCCTTCCCCAGTCCCAGTGGTGGCTTCATCTCTCCCAGTCCCTGGGCCTACCCTGAGCTTGGGCCGAAATCCCAGGGGGTTGGGGGAATGGGAAGGAACAGAACAATTAAATAAGATACCATTTATTTTTAAAAAAATTAAAAAATAATGCCGACATTATTTCATCCATCCCCAGGCTTGCCCCCTGCCTCCCTACCGCCTCCCCAGGGTTGGGCTCCCCTCCTCCCTGGCTGTCCTGTGTAATAAAGAGAAAACAATGAACTGGCTTTGTCAGGCACAGGGGAGGGAATGCAGACCCAGGGAGAGAAATAAAGATGCCACAGCAACTTAGTCCTGAATCACGGCAAACCCAAGCACACTGATATAAAAACATTCGTATAAAAAAGGGGAGAGTGCGTGCTGGGCACCGTGCCAAGGGTGAAGTGCTCTGGTGCCCAGACACCGTGTCCCCCAGAGGGAAAGCCTGATAAAAACAGGAAGCAGGGAGGGGGAGACGGAGAAACAATCCTGGGACTGGGAGGGCTCCGACCGGCTGAGCGCCTGGAGCGCATCCTGAGCGCATCCTGCTGCTTTCAGGTCAGGGCCCCCCACTTCCTGCCGTCCTTCCTCTCAGGGCCACTGGGCCCTGGACCATCCGCGTCTCCCACATCAGCTCCCCGGGGCTTTGCTCAGGGGTCCACTGGCCTGAGGTGGCCCCACAGCCTTGGCAGGTGACACCTCAGAAGACAAGGCTCATCCCCCGGCCCCCAAAGGGAGGAGGGAGAGAGAGACTGAGATCGAGGAGGGAGAGGGAGAGAGAGAGAGGGAGAGAGAGAGAGGGAGAGAGAGAGGAAGGAGAGATTGAGAGAGGAGGAAGAGGGAGAGGGAGAGAGGAGGGAGAGAGGGAGAGGGAGAGAGGGAGAGAGAGAGGAAGGAGAGATTGAGAGAGGAGGGAGAAGGAGAGGGAGAGAGGAGGGAGAGAGGGAGAGGGAGAGAGGGAGAGAGAGAGGAAGGAGAGATTGAGAGAAGAGGGAGAGAGAGAGAGGAGGGAGAGAGGGAGAGGGAGAGAGGGAGAGAGAGAGGAAGGAGAGATTGAGAGATAGAGGAGAGAGAGAAAGAGGAGGGACAGACTGAGAGATAGAGAGAGGAGGGAGAGACAGAGATAGAGAGAGGAGAGAGAGGGAGGCTGAGAGACAGAGAGGCAGTGGGCCGAGGTGGGCAGGGCCCAGTGGTCAGGAGGCGGCGATGGCGGTGCCACCCCCCAGCTTGACGATCATCTGCTGGCAGTCGTTGGAGGAGCGCCGGTCACCCACCTTCTCCAGGGTGCGGGCGGCCTCAGCCAGCAGCACTGCCCGCTGGCCCGGGGAGGAGAGGAAGGAGAGGGGAAGGTGGCGGCAGGCCAGCAGGATGGCAGTGGCCCGCTCTCGCTGGCCGGGCCAGGCGTCCACCTCTCCTGTGAAAACGAGGGACAGATGTTGGAGCTGCTCGCTGAGAGCCCACTAAGATGCAGGTGCTACTCCAGGGCCTGATGCGGACTCATTTCCTCATCCTCACACGGCCTAGGGAGGCGGGTCCCTAGTTGACAGGCGAGATGAGATGAACTTGGCCGGCATCACTCGGCTATTATCATTGGTGCTGAGAAGGAGCCGTGAGTCTGGCTCCAGGGCCTATGCTGCCACTCCGGCTCCTGCATTGGGACATTCCCCCAGCCCCCCTCCCCACTCCTGAGGCTACCCCACCAAGTCAGGCTTTGGGCTCCTCTCCTCCACACACCACCCCTGAGGACACTGCTGAGGTCAGTGCTGGGCGGGCGCCTCCCTGCTCAGGCAGGGCCCACACCAGGCCTCCCGGCTGGGGCTGGGGCGCTGGGCTCACCGTGCTTCGTGCCCTGCGCAGTGCGCCGCCGCAGGCTGTGCTCCAGCAGCTGGTGAGTGCGGGTGGGGCTGGCTCCGGCCATCAGACGCACGGTGGCCTCATGCAGGAACACCTAGGGAGGCAGGGACAGTGAAGCCTCAGTCCTCTCTAGTCTGTGCCCCAGTAGGTACAGGTGCCATTCCCTGCAGCGTCTCATCTGCCACCTGATGACACCCCGTCTCTCCACACTACCTTGCCCTGCTCACCCCTGGAGAGCAACCTCGTTGTCCTCACTCTGACCCAATACAAGCCAGAGACCTGGAGGAGTGGCAGGAACAAGGGGCACAGCACAGGCCAGCAGGTGAGGGCAAGAGCGAGAGGAGTGAGAGAGGCAAAGGCTACCAGTGACCAAGACAGCCCCATCTCGCCTCTGGGCTTGGAAGACAAGTAACTGGTGAAGCCTGAAATCCGTGGAGGCTGCCTCCAGCTTGAAAATAGGACAGGTGAACACAGAACCTAGACACAGAACCTACACAGAACCTAGAGACAGAAGAACTTTGCTGGAGAGAACATGGCAAAAGATCCTGGACAGAAACTGGAGACAGAACCTAGAGACAGAACCTAGCGAGAGAACATGGCTGAAGAACCTAGAGACAGAACCTGGCTACAGAACCTGGATAGAACATGGCAAGAGAACCTGACTAGAACCTGGTGACTGGACCTGGCTGGAGAACCTGGACAGAACCTGGCTGGAGAACCTAGCGAGGGAACATAGCTACAGAACCTGGCTACAGAATCTGGCGACCGAACCTGGCTGGAGAACCTACAGAACCTGGCAATAGAACCAGGCAAGAGAACCCAACCATGCTGATCAACTGAATGCTGCCTCTGTGTCATTCCTTCTTCGCCGACTCTGTCCACACCTTTGGGGACCCCTGGACCTGCTGGGGTTGGACCCCAGCAGAAAATATCCCTATCATGCTCACAGGGATGCTGAGGCCACACAGAACTAGGCAGACAGAGGACCACAATGATGAGCCTGGCACAGACT